CCTCCTCCTCCTCCTCCTCCTCCTCCTCCTCCTCCCTTCTAGTACTGATGATGACACCTAGCTGGGTTGTGAAACCTTTGCAAGAAAACCACCCAGCTCATATGATAAATCCATTAATTTGGCCGAGGCACCCCAGGGGTTCTGGGGAGGGGCTGGGAACAGAGCAGAGGAAGAGGGAAGACACTCTCCTTCACCCTCTTTGAGGGGGCGTCCAGGCAGATCCAGAGGCTGGGGGGAGGGAGGGGGGAGGACAGCAGCTGTTTTTTCCTTCAGGTGGGATTTTTCCCAGGAGGAGGTGAGAAGCCTCCAACTCTCGTTGGGATCCAAGTCTCTTCACCACGGCTGCCAGGATCCCTTTGAGGAGGCTCCCTGGGACCACAGCCTTGGGCCAGGCAGTTTGTCCAGTGTGTTGCACGAGGATTTGTGTAAAGAGGGACACTAAGAGCAGAGCAACGATGCCCTCAAAGCAGGACTGACCATTTGCCTTGGCCGTGCAGGGAAGGGCTTGCTGGGACAGACCATTTGGGGGGGGGGTGTTCCTGAGAATCTGAGCACAAACATCTGGGCAGGGGACAGATGAACGCAGTACTTGAGTAAGCAGATAAAATTGGAGAAATAAAGGTATTTATTCCAGTTAGATTGAAATGACCTCCAAGCTCCCTTTCATAATAATAATAATAATAATAATAATAATAATAATAATAATAATAATAATAATAATAATAATAATAATAATAATAATAATAATAATAATAATGTACAGCTGATTGATATCGCTGTACCAGGAGATGCCAGAGTCAAAGAAAAAGAACTGGAAAAAATTTGAAATATCACAACCTGGCCATTGAAACTGCGTGATTATGGATGGAATGTGTAACGGTGATCCCCATTGTCATCGGGGCACTGGGAACTACGTCCCAAAACTTTGCAAACTATTTTAAGAAACTGCAGCTCCCTGCAATAACTCCAGCAATGTTAGAAAAGACTGCGCTATTCGGAACATCTTACATTTTAAGGAGGTACCTGGTTGACACCTAGGATGCTGGTAGCAACCTGTGTCAACCATCAGCGCCAGCCAATTTGAATGTCTGGTTGATTGAGGTTCATGTCTAATGAATAAAAGATAATAATAATAATAATAATAATAATAATAATAATAATAATAATAATAATAATAATAATTATAATAATTATTATTATTATTATTATTATTATTATTATTATTATTATTGATCATTGCAGAGCATTATTATTGTTATTATTATTATTGATCATCGCACAGTCAGCATTATTATTATTATTGTTATTATTGTTATCATTATTGTTATTGTTATTATTGTTATCATTATCATCATTATTATCGTTATTATTGTTGTTGTTGTTGTTGTTCTTCTTCTTATTATTATTATTATTATTAATATTATTATTATTATTATTATTATTATTATTATTATTATTATTATTATTATTATTATTATTATTATTATTATTATTATGGCTGTCCAGTCTCTTCTTAAAAGCCTCCAGTGTTGGAGCATTCACTGCTTCTGGAGGCAGGTAGTTCCACTGGTTAATTGTTCTCACTGTCAGGAAGTTTCTCCTTAGTTCTAGGCTGCTTCTCTCCTTCATTAGTTTCCATCCATTGCTTCTTGTCCTGCCTTCAGGCGCTTTGGAGAATAGCTTGACTCCCTCTTCTTTGGGGCAGCCCCTGAGATACTGGAAGGCTGCTATCATGTCCCCCCTCGTCCTTCTCTTCATTAAACTAGACATCCCCAATTCCAGCA